TTCCCACTTGTTTGCGCACCTCTTCCTCCTCCAGCTTTGATTTTTTTTTTCTTTTAAACATACTGTTGTGAATATTTGCTGTGACATGTTAATTGTCCATCTTAGTAGCTGCCACATAACTTATTTCACTGCAAACTGAAAATACTTCCTAATATTTACTCCTGAGTAGACCTGGGCCGCACCTGGTGCAATCCAACAGGTCTCAGACTTTTTCCTGTCATGCGCCCGCACGCCTCCTTTTCAGAGGCCGAAAGAATCCCGCCCACCTTGGTGTGTTTTTGGTGTTTTTTTTCCACTTTGTCACTAACAATATTTGGGAAACAGTCACTAAGTAAAGAAATGACTGCATCCCGGCTGTAGCCATAGTCCTCCGCCAACCAGTTAAGGTACAGCTTCCATGTTAAACAATGTGTTTGGTGCCAACCTGATGGTGTATTGGTGTTTTCTTTGCATTTTATGCCTGGTCTTAAATTTGTAATTTCAGTTGTAATTATATTTGTAATACAAAGGTGAATTAGTATTTTATTTATTTTTTGCATTCTCAGAACTTTGGTCTTGACCATATAAAGAGTTTATGTAAAGTGTTTATCATGATGATTGCTTGATCAAACAAATGGCAATGAAGGGGACAGACCCCTGTGACAGGCAAGAATAGTAGAGAAATACAAACTGTCTACTTTTTAACAGCAAAACAAGACTTATTCAAAGTGGTTTGTGTGAAAATGGAGTTGAACTCTGAGTTCAGGGAAAGTCATGTTTTCACCTAACCTGCTTTAACCTGCGGGGTTTTAAATGGTTTTGAATGTTACTACGGTGGCCTGTTAGCTTACAGCACATTTGACTGACAGATTGCGATTTTGAATGTAAACATGCAGAAAGTTGAACTCTGCAGCATTCAGAGCCGTGACGTCATCGGGCTTTGATCTTCGTGACGTCACCCAGTCTCGCGCAGCAGCTCACCTAATAACTGCAGCTTCACAGGCAATCAGACCACTTCTGAACTTCAGTAGAGGTACCGCGCTGGTGAGCAAGAGAGTTAATACTCGACAAACAAACGTTTA